GTGGAGCTGTTGTCCTATAACCTGCCAAGAGGGTACAAATATGGCGAAATATTGCCCAGGCTTAGAATATAGTACAGCAGAAAGTATGGTCGGCCCCATCCGACTTTACTGATCTGCTCACTGGTCTTAAGGTGTGAATGTATAGTTTTATATTTACGTTTACTGTGGCATAGCACCCATAGAAAAATGATGACCTGATCGAACTTAACAACTTTCTTGCAGTTTTTGATAAGGAAATTCTTTCAATCATGTCAAGATTTTAGATATTATGGAAAACACCCTTCAAGGACTTTACCCTGAGTCAATGGGATATTCATGAGCTTAGAATACTTAGACTGCGGAAACCGGTACCGGTGATTCATTCAAATAAGTCAATGAGAATATTTTATAAATCTGAAAATCTGTGGAGTAGCGTTAGCTAATGCCTACACAGATATGTGTGATTCCGTCAAAAAACTGTAATCTTCAAATTTAAGAGAAATCGATAGATATAATTATAAAAAAACATCCTCCTCTGGAGGAGAAAAAAATCGAAATAAACCCCAACTTGCCCTGTGTTTAACAGATAAAACCTCAAGGTTGGCTACATCACATGCTTAGGTGATTCAAGGTGCAATGCCCTTTTCCATATGCAAATAAAAGGTTACATCAACTATTTTGGACACACACAAAATCACAAATGATTTCCAAATGAAACAAAAACCATTTCTCTCTCTCTTTTCGGAAAATTTGTTTACATTTTCCACACAGACACATTTCAATTCCAATGAAAGCAAAAAAAAAATGTTGCATTTGAAAATCGGCAACAACAACAAAAATAGAAAAACCCACGTTTTCACTTTCAAAAAAAAAAATGTTTTGCGACAACAAACCTCCTTGCTGCAAATGATGACACTTTTGTTTTTGGTACGTTTGGAGACCACAAACCAAGGCGAGGGAAGCGCAGTCGCCATTTAAAGAAGTTCAGCAACTTCTGGCCCAAAACATGACTGACGGTTCACACAGTTGGCCATCTTTATGCAGCTGTGTGTTTCGTTTTTTGTTTACAATTTTTGTTTATCTGGTATTTGAGGTTGTTGTTGTGGTTCGGTACGGTACGGTTCATCAAAATGTTACCACTTAAGAAACTGCAATGGAAACGATTTATCGGATGTTTTGTTGTTGTTGTTGCTGCTGTTGGAAAATACACAGAAAAACAAGTGTTGTTGTTTTGATTGTTATTGTTATTATCTTAACTACAACAAAAAAGGGGGTTATCGTCGCTGTGGTTGTTTTCTTCGTCGCCGTTGTTAATTTGTTAATGGCTTGTAAATATATATATACATATATATGTACATATATTCATACATATGTTGGTCTAAATATATTTTTAATGTCAAGGTTGTCATAACTATTAATATCTTTTGTTCGTAATAATTTTCTTGTAATTGTTTTTATTTTTCTGCGGATTTCTAGGAACGCCAGTAGAAGAATTTGGTCTAACTGATAGCAGAATAATATTTTGAAATAGTTCTGAGAATTATTATTTTTTTATTACTAAAGTAAATGGGAACCACCACTAGACAGCTTGAGAGGTTTAGTCCTAAATTTATTGCGAATTTCGAATTTTCGAGGGCTACGTATATCCTTTATCTAGGTTACATTCAGATAGTATATAAGTCTATAAGAGAACATTAGAACGTAACCTAAACTTTGGAGGACCTTTGTAAGATGTTCAGGTCTATATGGGGTAATTAGAAGATCTTCCGTGCACAGGAGGCTTTAAGAAATTTGATTGTCTGTAGGTGAACTGCAGAAAGTCGTCTGTCCAAATGACCCTAATTCTAACCATAAAACGTTTTCAGAAGGTTTTCTATATACAGAATTTTTTATTCTTTCTATAGGAGAATGTCTTCTGAAAGTTTTATATCAGGATAAGATCATTTAGGTGGCAACCCTCAAAAAGAGGTCCTTCAGAAGGTATTTTGATAGTAGGGCTTAAATGTATAGGAAATCTTTAAGAGACCTTATACACATGGGCTTTAGAAGATCTTCATTGGATGTTCGGTCTATATAGCTTTTTGCAGGTTTTCTGTATATAGGAGGCTTTGGGAAGTTTTTTTCTGGAACCTTAATAATGTCATATATGGAATCGTTAGAATGTTTCTTAAATATGCGAACCTTTCTGAATTTTCTCCTTTAAAAATTATATCTCTATAGGAGAACTTTAGAAGGCATTTGACAATAGAAGACATTCAGTCTTCAGTACAGAAGATGGAATTTTATCATCAGATGTTGGTCTGGAGAACAGCAGACAGTTTCATATCGTTTGGAGACTTCCAGAAGGTCTTCGTTATTAGGAGACCATCAGCAGGTCATCCGTCTTAATTAGACTAACAGGTCTCCTGTCTTCAGTAGGAGACTTTCAGAAGGTCTTCTATTTAGACTATCAGTAGACCTTCTGTCTCTAGGTTCTTCGGAAGATCTTGGTCTGGAGAACGCCAGACAGTTTCATATCTTTTGGAGTCTTTCAGAAGGTCTTCATTTTTAGGAGATCATCAGCAGGCCATCCGTCTTAATTAGACTAGCAGGTCTCCTGTCTTTAGAAGTGTACGAGTGTATTTTGCCTTCAGATTTTTAGGACACCTTTAGAAAGCTCTAGATCCTCAGAAAATCTTCTATATATTAGAAACCTACATAACCTTATGAGACTGAATACTTTTCTGGTTATAGGATTCCATCTGCCTATAGAAGACTTCTATCTCCGGGAGACCCTCAAAAGCTTTTCTTACTTTAGAAGAAGTTCAGGAGGGCCTTTTTGACGTTACGATATTTGGGAAATCTATACGATCGCTCTACGATCTTTGGGAAATCTTTAGAAAGAATGGGGTTTTTAGGAAACGCTCAGTAGATCTTCAGAAACTGCTCTATGTCTTGGATACCTCCAAGTGATTGTCAAAGTGTCTTCTGCCTATAGAAACCTCCAAAGGGTATTTTTTCGATAATATACGTTTAGACTATTTTCTTCGGTCTATAATAAGCCGATATTTAGGATACTTTCCGAAGATTGTCTATCGTTAGTAGATCTTCTGAAGCTGTTTGATCTATATAAGATCTCCCAAAAGACTTCTGGCTATAGGAGATCTTCTGAAGGTCTTAAATCTTTTGAAGACATTCATAAGGTCTTCCCTCTTCAGAAGATCTTCCAAAGAACGTTTGTCTTGAGGAGAAAGCCGCTATAGAGTACCTTAGGAAAAAAAAATTCTTCTGTTCATATGGTCTGCTGTCCATAGAAGATCTCCAGACGGTTTATTGTCTATATGAGATGTTTAGAATGGTGTCTATTTTGCAGGATAGCAGAATTCAATATTTAGGAAACCTTCCGAAGCTTTTTTATCTATAAGATAACTTCAGGAGATTTTCGATCTTTAGGAGATCTACAAAAGGTCTTAGATCTTTAGAAAACCTTAGAAGCTGTTTGAAATACAGCATATCTTGAAAAGCTCTATAACTTTTAAGAAACATCATTACGTCTTTAGTAGCCTTCAGGAGTTCTACGGTCTTTAGCAGACATTCAGAAGTTTTTTCTAACATATTATATTCTTGGGATTCCTTCACTGCTTGTGATCTCCTGCCCATAAAATATTGTATTACATCTAGGGTAGATTCAGAATGCCTTTGGTCTATTTCGATCTTCAAGGTACGACAAGAAAGTATTTTATCTTTGAGGGACCTTAAGGTCTTTTTTCAGCATAAGACTTTTTGAGGATAATCGAACTTTAGAGAACCCCCGAAGGTGCTCTTTTTTAGGAGTCTTTCAGAAGGTCTTCTTTCATAAGGATAAAGACTTTTGTATTTCGAATTCCATCAGAAAGCTTTGGGTCTTGAGGTGATCCTCTGAAGGACTTTAGAAAAATTGGGAATCCAATCTTTATTAAATCTGTAGGTATTTTTTCTATACCAGACTTCCAGAAGATAATCGAACTTTACAGAAACTTCAGAAGGTTCTCTATTTTGACACAAGACGATCTTCAGAAGACGTAAGTTCTGCTGGAAACTTTTCTATATTTAATACGCTGCCTTCGGTCTTAGGATGTCGGCTGACTATAACATACCTTCAGAAGGTCTTCTGATTTTAGCAGAAGTAATTTTGGCTTTAGAAGTCCATCATAATGCTTTCAGTCTTTAGAAGACCCTCACAATGGCTTCAGAAAATTGTTTATAGAAGACGTTTTAATTTTTTTTTCTATTTTTAGAAAAGCTTCAGAACACCTTTGGTCCATGGGAAACCAATCGTTAGGAGTACTTCTGAACTTCCATATCTTCAGGAAACCTTCAGAGGCTTTTCGATCGCTGGGAATTTTTTCATTTTTTCTTTAGGTGGCATACAGAAACAGTGTGTGATCTACAAAAGCTCTTCGATTTTTCAGAGGGAAACACATAAGGAGAATTCAGGCATGGTATGTTAAATTAGATTTGCCCTAAATCATGTTTGACTTTAATAGTCAAAAATTAACATGCCTGAATCCTCGTATGTGGTTACCCCTTATGGGTCTATAGGAGTCCTGCAGAAAGGTTTCGATATTTAGAGGGGACTTTTAGAATTGTTCCTATTCTGAAAACTATAATGCTTCAGAAACGAAGCCAATCGTTAGGAGTCCTTACGAACATCTCTATCTTTAGGAAAGCTTCAAAAGCTTTACGATCGTTAGGAGTTCTGTGATTCTTATGAGACTTTCGGTCTTTAGGAGTCCTTCAAAAAGGACTTACAATGACTTCTGTTTCTAGAATGCCTCTATAAGGTATTTTCTCTTAACGATTCTCTAAAAGTTATTTTGTCTTAAGATTTTCTCCATATATCAGACGGTAATCGATGTTTCAAAGACCTCCAAGGACACCTCAAAAACATCTTCGGTCGTTAGAAGTCCGTCAGAATATTTTCTTCGTATTTCAGAAAAATTCCCATTTCAATCTTCCAGACCCAATTTACTTACCGTTTATTCTTCTCTCTTATTTTACAGGATGCCGAGACCGTGGAACGCCTTAATGAATCTGGAGAACTTAGACAGCTCTTAAAACCCTATAAGGTAAGCTACAATGACACACCCAGCTATGCTATTTTACTCATTCACTTTGTACCCATTTCTTTTATTTTCCTTGCAGTCAATTGCAACTACCTACACCTGTCAAACATGCGGTGGTTATCGTTTGCTGCCATGTCCCTCCTGCAAAGGTTCCAAGAAGTCGGTACATCGAAATCATTTCACAGCTGAATTTGTGGCATTGAAATGTATGAACTGTGACGAAGTGGGTTTGGTTAAATGTCACAATTGTTAGAGGAGTCGCCGCCCCCCTGACCAAAGGGAGGGATGAGGGAGCAGTACGAAAAAACAAAAAAGAAATAGTTAGGCAGATATGTAGACGTATCGTCACTATTTCAAACTGACATTAGCAATAGAAGTAAATATTTTTAGGTGACACAAAATGAGTGAGCGTGCCAGCATGCGTCTGGACTGAACTGGCTGCCTGCCTGACTGTCTACCTATTCGATTAGCGTGTTGAATATTTAGCATAGCTTAAGAAGAAAAAAAAACAACAAATAATCAAGTCAAATGTTTGCATTTGCAGAGTCTAACCGTTTTGTACGTTATGTGTTATTGTTGTTGTGTTAGTGTGGTAGTTAAGAAATTAGAAGAAAAATAATGAAATGCAGAAAGCGAATAAAACTCAAATTCCCATATTTGATTTGCAGTTATTTTTTGAATTTGTGCATTTAGTATGTCAATCAGTGTACTCCCCCAAATGAAGTGTACCTTCCCTAATTTTCCATTACAAGAAATTTGGGTTCCGTTACAATGGATGGGTGTTCGTCACAGCATATTTACAAACAAATTCCAATAATAACAACAAATACAAAAACACAATATTTTTTTATGTATGTAATTTATCTATATTTTAAACTACTTTTTATTATTATTTTGAAAAAATAATTATATATATTTTGTTTAATATTTTTTTCTAAATTGTTTAATAATATATACTTTTTTATTTTATTTTAATTTTTCTTTTTTTTTGTTATATTCTTCACTGCTTGTAATTATTGCAAAACGAAAATGATGTGCAATTTTTATATAAGAGAAACCATGTCAATAAAAAACAACTCCTCTTAACAAATTAGAAATATAAGATGTGACTCAAACACACAAACAAATATACATCGAATATAAAAATTAAGAAAAAAAATAACTCTCAAAATGCTTCAACGATTAAAATATTTTTTTAATTATATATATATATATTTTTTTTTTTTTTTTGTAAAATAAGTATATGTAATAAGATATATTCCCCCACACACAATCGAAATATTTATAAAAAATTATAATTTTTTTTATTATATAAATAAATAATAATATTGTATAGCTAACAATAAAATGTTGTTTTTAATACGCATACTTTCCACTAATTTTGGATGTTGAAGGAGGGTTATCCATTTAGTGGTTCCAGAAGCAAATATAAAATATTTGGTTTATGATATATTTTTTTATACCCTCAGCCTTATGGCTATCGAGGACATGTCTATATACAGAAACATTGGTTTAGACCGCATTTTCTCTTGACCAAATCCGGTTCAGACAATTTGGAGTCCATTTACAAATGTCGGTCCGTCTGTTAGGTCGGCCGCCTGGAGCGCGTAATGACTTTCGAATTATTCTTCCATATGATTATTTATTTTTCAATTTTTTTATAAATATGTCCTTTACTGCCGGTAATTTTTTAACAAGTTGCTCTTTTAACAGAAATAAGGTGTCATATTCAAGGGCAATATTTTGTTTTGTATTCCTATGTTGTACTATAATTCCGAAATCTCTCTCTTAATTCCACTATATAGATTTCGAACAAATAGGGGAGACTGGGGCACCTTCGTCACTTTTTTTTTAGAGCTCTATATCTCAGTACTTATTCAACATATAGAACAACTTCATGGCTGATTATTGTCCTCTGACGCTTAATTATAAAAAATAGTACCAAAAAGATATAAAAAAATAGTATTAGTTAAAAAATTTTACAGTTTTGTAAAAAAGTCAAATTCGCCGAATGTGCCCCAACTCGGCGTAGCTTCGGCATTTGATGGGGCACATTCGGCACCATAGTCATAGCCGGGTAATTATCATCGCTATCAGTCTGGTTTAAATTCTGATCCTCTAAAGGCTCTATTTGGTTTTAATACGCCACACAATGTTTGAATTATAGGACTTTATTTTCTAGCGGCGGACGTTTACATCTCAAGGTCGTACACACCATCATAAATAGAGGTTTTCTATCGCATTTTCGTCAATACAAGCACGTTTGATCTTATATATGCAATTTCGAACCATATTAAAGGATTAGTTTTAAAGACAAACTCAAAAACATTTTAAGAAAATACTATTGCACAATCTGTATATGGCCGAATTTGCCCCACTTTAAAATGCCGAATGTACTTTTTATAGATTTTTTGATTTTTTTGATCAGATTTGTAGAAACATTACATTTTTAAATATTTCTCTAATAATACACATGATAGTTAACCACTTTTTAATAATATTGTCTTAACAATTTTAAAAGTTTTATACACGAAATACTTACGAAATGGAATTGAAATATTACAGAAACATCTATAAAAATACAAAAACCCATGTATCTAAATAAGCTTATTAGCTAGAAATTTCAAACTTTGTGTCATTTATTTATTTCGATATTCGATACCTATGTATCGAAACTAGTGATGTTCGGTGAGAGCTTCATATCGAAAACGCGATTGCCGAAGGTGCCCCCATGCCGAAGGTGCCCCAGTCTCCCCTATACCAAATTTTAGGTTTCCAGCGTTATCCGTTCACCCGAAATCCAAATTATACTAAATTTAGTATCACTTAATACCCATAAGTAGAAATCTCTTAAACTACCTCAATCCTACAATTCAACAGTAATTTTAATTTCAAATTTCGAAGTTCCAACTCTATTTGTTCCAGCTCTATTATACCAAATGTAGTACTTTTCGTACCAATAAGTACTACTTTCCAAAACTACCTCCAACAGTAATTTTTATTCCAAAATTCATGAGTTCAGCTCTATCCGTTCACACAAAATCAAATTGTACCAAATTTAGTACCGTTTACTTCACATAAGTATATTTTTTTAAAAACTACCCCCATATCTCTGTTCTACATTCAAACAATAATGATTATTAAAAATTTTAAATTTCCAGCTCTCTCCGTTACTCAAATCTAAATTGATCCAAAATTAGTACACTTAGTACTATTCGTACACTTAAATTCGAACTTCCAAAGCGGCCTCCATAGATCAATCATATACTTCAACAGTAATCTTAATTCGAAATATCAGGATTCCAGCCCTATTCATTCACCCAAAACCAAGTGGTACCAAATTTAGTACCATTTAATACTTTTCAATTTAATACCATTTAGTAATTTTAAGAATTTCTAAAACTACATCAATCCTACTCTCCAATAGTAGTTTTAATTCCACGAAAGTCCAAATTGTACAAAATTTATTACTTTTCTTACTCAAAAGTACAAATTTCTAAAAGTACCCCAATCCTGATTTCCAATAATAATCGCTACCTTTTCTATCCCCTCAAACAAATTTAAATTTTAACAAGTTTAGTACCACTTGGACCAGGATTCCAACCCTATCCATTAACACAAAAACTAATTCAAAATATTTGGTAGTATTTATTACTTTTTTGTTCAAATAAGTACGAATTTCCTAAACTACATCAATCCTAAACCCCAAAAGTAATTTTAATTCCAAAATTCTGGAAACCAGCCCTATCCAGTCACACATAACCAAGTTGTACCAAATATAGTTTCATTTAGTACATATAAGTACTATACTTGCATATCTCAATTCGACACTCCTACGGCAACCAATATTTCAAACTTCAAATGATAATCTGTCCGTCACTCATCCACTTAACACTAAGATCTTCTATACGAAGGCCGTTCGGAAACTTCTTCAGCAACCCATTTTTTACTGTTGCATATGAAGGAGCACTTTCACCTAACACATTCAACATATCATTATAAATTTCTTGTCCCGTTAAACTTTTTTTAAGTAAATATTTAATGAAAAAACGCATTCATAGATTAAATTCCATACCCGCTGCTATATTTCGTGAATATCGAACAAACATAGACTCCTAAGTGCGTCATTTACATAAAATCGGATGAAAATATATGTGGGAGATATATCTAAATTTGAACCTATTTCAACAAAAATTCACATGCATCAATCTGGACCTAATTCAGTAGTCTGTGCAGAATGTTGTCTCAATCAGACCAATAATGGGAGTTTGGTCCACCATTTGCTTAAAATCGAATGATTTTTAATTTTTCAGATTTTACTTTTGATAAGTGTTGACGTATGAAATCCAAAGCAGCATATTAAATATAAGCTCTAAAACATTTTGTAGCCTGTGGGCAACATTGGGCCACAAAGGGTTAATATGACGCCTTATTTGTTAACACAGGTGAGCAGTTGGTTACACCCATGGTCCAAGCTTTGACTTAGCCCCTTTCATATATGTCTCGCCTCATTTTCGATGTTTGGTCCCATTTTTCCACCGAAGTAGCTGTAACATGGCATTCTGGATTCGTGGAGAGCGAAAAATATATTTGCAGAAAATTTGCGAATTTTCCCAACAAAAGGTTGAAATTTGCTATATCAGGTTCTTGGAGTTTACCAGGTATTTTTCAGAAAATTTTCAATATAAGCCCAGGTTTTGATATAGAAACCATATAAAAGTCCCGCCTTATTATTGGTAGCTTGAGGGTCTTAGCCGCATTTTCTAAATCATTCCAGGTTCTTAAATTGTATTTATTCCCGGTTAGAAAAACAAATAATTTCCCAGAAAATGTTGCGGGGTAGATCAATGTTTATACCCAAATGAGGATATATACCCTTTGCTACGCAAAAATGTGCCAGAAAAAGTGGACCCATCGGTCCATCATCGAACTTTATTTTATTTTTAAAATCGGTTACTCCCTTCGAGAGTTATCATGTGCACCAGCCCGCCAGGCAGACGACGGGCTGACATTTGTACATCAACTCCAAATTGTCTGAAACGAATTTGGTACAAAGAAACATTGGGTCTAAAACCAATATTTCTACATGTATCTACCATCATTCGACACGTTACGGTGGCTGTAATTTTGTACTCCAACATATTTTTATGATTGGACATAACCCTGTATAAAGATTCCCAACCATTTTCTGTATTTGGAAGATTTATCCGCATTTCCCCAGCAATATCGTTGTAATATGATATTTTCGGTAAT